GCCTGGTTATTGCTGATTTGCAGGCTGTGCCCTCTGCTTCATCCCACCTAAGGGCTTTTCCCCTTTTTCTTCTGCCCTGCTTCTCCATCATCCTTGCACATCAGAGAGTATTAACTCATCTCTGCCATCTGTCATCACTCTCTCTCTATTCCCTCCTGGATTTTTTGTACCCCTTGTTTGCAATTTTCAATGAACCCCTTGTTCACTCACTTGAACCTTTGCTTYAAGAAAAACACAAGCCAGGAGTCCATTTTGGAGAATGCCTCCAGTTTTGCGCAGAAAGTAAGGGGCACGTGTGAGTGTGTTTGGAGGGGGAGGAGATGTTGACACTGAAAATCCTGAGACAGTTCAGTCCAGGGGTGTGACCAGGACATTCACCTCAGTGTACAAAGCAGGAAGTTTCCCTGGCTGTGGTAGAACAGATCTAGTTGGAGAGATCCCAGCTACAAAAGGCTCGGCAGCTCAGTAACTGAAATGCTGCCACAGAGGATGGAAGGCCCATCTCAAACAAAGCAAAAATTTTTGTTCTACTACCACTGCCACTGAATTAGGCAGCAGCCTATGGCAGAAATTTCCAATGCTGAAACAAGAATATGCCAGTTTGAAAACACTGACATGAATTTTTTGGCTTTGAGTTTTTTTTCCCCTTCATTTGCTCTTGGGCACTATTACATGAACCTGCAATAGGGGGGCTGACTAACTGACAGACAAAATGTTTTGACCCTTGAAGGCTGTGACACTGRGCAAGGAACCAGGTCACATCTCATGTGCAAGGAAAAACTGTTAGGTTTGTTTTTGGATTTTTTTTTTTCCCTTCTCACCATACCACCCTTTCTCTGTCATCCAGCACTTGATGACCTAGAGCATTTACAATGCATCTAACTGGAAGTCATCGGCCAAGATTATCTGTTTTTCCAAGAATTGATAGGAATAGCTCCTTTCTGGAAAGCTCCACAGGGGATTGCATGTTAGCACTGAAACGGACAATCAGTCATAACTGAGTACTGGAGTTTCTTCGGATGTGGAATGGCATCAGAGCACACAGGTCAACAGCATCGGGCAAAAATGCATTTTGCCACCTGGATGATGAGCACCACAGTAACACCTTTTGTCTGCGCATGTATTCTGTCTTTCCTGTCATTGCTGGTGTTACAGCTCAGTTCTGAGTTCTGAGGGCGGGTGGGTGTTACACAGATTGAAAATAATCAAACTGTTTGTCAGGGGTCTCCTCATTCTTTTCACTGGTTGTCTGCCTGCCAAAAAAACCTCTTCCATCCCTCAGAAAAGCTCACCTTGCTATGGAACACTTCACGCCTGCCTAGAACAGACCACGTGCCTGAGCCCTGGAGATCTGCTCAAGTGCTGGATGACAGAGAAGCCTGAGTTCTCAGAATACTCTTTTCCTTTCTTTTCCCTTTCCTATGACACAGGATGGATGTCACAAGACCCTCTTTCCTTCCTCTCTGTTCTGTTTGTCCTATTTCCACAGTTCAGGGACTCCTTCTCTCGTCCTGTCTTGCTCCTGCCCCCTTCTCTCACTTCCATACAGATTTATCCTTCCATCTTCTCACTCCCAAATTACCCAGCTTCTGAGTTGCCCACCACCACACTCCTGTATCAGTGTACCTACAGAGCTCCCCACCACCACTTGTGCAAGCTGCTGAGCTCTTTGCTCTTTGTCTCTCAGTGCACCTAAAGCTGGGCTCCAGMCAGAGCTCAGCTCAAGCTCARCCTTTGGGAAGGTGMAATGACAGCTTGCATGTCTTGTTTTAATGTCCCAGGTAACATTATRCCATGTCATCCCATGGTTAGAGCCTCCTGTGCTCATGGAATGCCAGGCCAGGTCCACAGAGGGACCCCAAAGCAGGTCATGTATAGTCTGCAATTGTGCATTCCTCCAGACCCTCTTCAGCTGCAGAAAAGAAACAAGTGTTTGCTTTTCTGAGAATAACTGCTAATGAATAATCACATTCAGCCTTAGTGCAGCTTTCCAAAACCGTTTATTTTTACTCTATTTTTATGCAAGGGGTTGGTATGTCCTGAGGCTAGGGAGCCYTCAGGGCCTGGTGCAAATCAGATCCCCATCTGCATCTGCTTCCTCTGGGCACCAGAAACCAGAGCCACATGTTCAGGTCAGCCTCAAGGCTGTGGGAGATTGACCCTGGAGGAAGACCTCTGCACTGGAGAGATACTGAGGAACCTTCTAACATCACTCAAAAAAAAAAAACAAAAAACCCAAAAAAAAACCAAAAAAAAAACCGAACCAAAACCCCAGCAGTCTAAAATATCACCATACCAGTCTAAATTATCTCACACAAAAGTCACATCCCTGCCTCTCAGGAGAGAACAGTGGTACTGCAGATTCTTACCAACGAAGGCAGGAACCCAAACACTCATAGATTGCTCAAAACAGCTCCAGGGAAGACTCTCAAAGTGAACTTCTGAGTCTGCTGAGCTCAGTGAGAAGCTAAATGTGGGCTTCACCCAAAGGAAATTCTTCTGTAGAAATTCACACCATTGCTCATAATCATTCTGAAAGACAAGACCAGTCTTCAAAGGATGTTTTCTTAGCACCTAATTGCTTTCTGRGGCAATTTTAACATGGCCAAAAAAGTGTCACCAAATTGATAACATTGTAGAAGTAGTAGTAACTATTATTAGTATTATTTCATTAATAAATACTTTTCGTTATATCACACTGTTGTACAGAAGCATTAATTGCTGCATATACTCATTATATCATATAATAGTCTAGGACTGTAYAATTTAATTGTTTTTTACCAAAAGTACATGCTAGGTCTTTCATTCTGAAAGTTTCTTTCCCCAGTTTTAGAGGGGAAAGCTTCTTTAAAAGTGGCAGTGAATTAAATGTTGCAAAATTTTAAATATTGTAAGCTTAAGGATCAAAAAGCGGAATATAAAAAGCTGCATTTCTAGCCTGCTGTATTTGAACTGAAATGAGATTKTTGTTACAAAAAATAACAACCAAGGAAGCAAACCAAATCTCATTTTTAGGAGTTTTTAGGAGGTCTTGGTCAATGTAAACTCTGAGGCTATGAGGCTGAAACTCCTTCCTGTTTACCTGTGGGCTCATGGTGAGAACACTGACAGTTGGGTTTCAATATTTTCTATGTGGAAGTGGGAGCTCTCTGAGTTAGGGCAAGAATTGAGTCTCTGGCTTTCAACCAAGCTCAAAGTAAAATGCTCTGGTGTTTCTGCAATAGCTTAAGACTGATATCAGATATACAATTAACATCAGTCGTAAATTATCTGGGTTTGATTTTTTTCTGTCCCCCAATATGTAGAAGCTCATTATTCCTCTTTTTAAAAACACAGTTGAATATATATTATGATTTTTACAACTCTCCTCACTAAAGCAAACTGTGCACCTGAGAACTCATTATTTTGATAGCAGTTTTTGCRGAGTGAACTCTTTAAAATTGGTGATAAGAGTTTTCATTCTCTTTCACTGCTGTATTTGCTGTAATAATTCTAACTTCCAAATATGTGCAACATAATTTCTTAATTATCTTTGCTCTATTATTAAGCCATAYAGTTMTTCCTTTATTTCTACAGCTCACAGTCATCTGGTACCAAAAGGCACATGTCATTCTTAGATTGCAGTGAGCTCCGTTACCCTTTCGATATAAATAAATGGAGGGAGAAAAAATGAGCCTTGACTGAGTCTGGCTYCTCAGAAAAACTGTTTTGAATAAACAACGAAGAAGTGAAAAGCAATATCGTCAATAGCCGTCGCTTGAGGAGTCACCCAAATGTTTTGGCTTCCATTCCAAGAAAGCTACTAAGCACCTGCCCAAACCAAGGATCTTAAATATCCTCCATATTTTTGGGGTATACTGTAAAAGGATGAACTTCCAGTGCAGACCACCTTCATCACTGTCATGGGAGCACATCTCTTGAGTCATTGCTGCCGGAAATAATCACTTGGAAGTCAATTAATTTACAGAGAACAAGGATTTTTGTACTTGTAGTTTTTATAAAATCTTGGTTGCTTTGAACAATTATGCKAGTGTATATAGCTATATAGCAGAAGGAACTCCTATGTGGATGTTAAAACTCCCAGATAAAGAATCTCGCTAAAGTCTGTTTCTCTCCGTTGCATACGTTCAGGAATGCCTTCAATGATGAGCTCTGGTGTAGACATGTGGAGTGCAAATGCCCAGAGCTAGGTAAGACAACCCCATCCTTGTCTCAGAAAACCCCAACATGGGGTCTCTCCACAGGCTCAGAAGCCCAGCTGTCACCTTGGGCTCTCTGTGGAGGTGTCCACTCCCCAGAATTAGCCTGTGTTCTTTAATAGCTCTCAGGCTGATGGTTCATACAATGCTCAGTTTCAGAAATGCCTTTTAGTCATACAGATACATTTAAGCAGGGGAAATAGGTTTTTAGGCACAGAGAGGTTTTATGTGCAGAGAACTAACTCCTSATGCTCCAGGATGCCTCTTTTTCAGCTGGACACCCTTTGTGTGTAAAAGTATCCTACACTATATGTACATCAAATGTCTGCCCAGGCTGCAGTGAATGCCACTCCTTCAAATAACCTAGTTTTTTACCCTGCTCTCTTGGGCACCACAACACGGAAATCATGCTGAAAACATTGTTCCATTGCTCTAAACCTCTTCTCTAAATGAGAGCTGGGAGGTCAAGCCATTACTCAGTCATTTTTACACTTCATTACATAAGCGCCACTCATCAGTAAAATGTACTTGGTCACAGTTTTGCAGAAGACACTGCAATTTTTCTCTTCCATGAAAGTGATCAGCCTCCTCCTCTGGCCACCTGCACATTCTCAGTGTGAAACAGAAATCATGTGTAGAGCAGAGCATTAGTTACCAAACTGCACTGGAAGGGTAAGATGGATTTTTTTTTCACTGTACTTGAGATACTGAGAAGTGAGGAAAGAGTTAACATTTGCAAAATAGTCATTTCCTGGCTGGATGACTAAAAACTTAGAGCTTGGTCTMGTTCTGTCATTAAGAGGCTTTCAAGGTGCACTGTTCATTCCAGACCAGGTAAGGATACAGCTTTTCACTTCTTCGTTGTTAATTCAAAACAATTTGTCTGAGGAGCCAGACTCAGCCAAGGCTCATTTTTTCTCCCTCCTACTACTTACACGCAAAGGGAGAGCGAAGCTCACTGCAATCTAAGAATGACATGTGCCTCTTTGTGCCAGATGACTGTGAGCTGTAGAAATAAAGGAAGAACTGTATGGCTTAATAATAGAGCAAAGATAATTAAGAAACTATGTTGCACATATTTGGACRTMGGAATTATTACAGCAAATACTGSAGTGAAAGAGAATGAAAACTCTTATCATCAATTTTAAAGAGTTCACTCTGCAAAAACCGCTATCAAAATRATGAGTTCTCAGGTGCACAGTTTGCTTTAGTGAGGAGAGTAGTAAAAATCATAATATATATTCAACTGTGTTTTTAAAAAGTGGAAGAATGAGCTTCTACATATTGGGGAACAGAAAAAAATCAAACCCAGATAATTTGGGACTGATTTTAATTGTATATCTGGACCTAATATTGATCTTTAGCTATTGCAGTCATGTCCTGTACTGAGACTGCATACCCTGAGACTGYTCCTGGGGTTTGCAGTAGCCCAACATACACACAGAAGGGACTGTGGAACCATGTCATAAAATGATATCAATTCATCAGGGTCTTTTGATGCATAAAAACTGAACTCAGACAGACAGGCACCAGAAGGAAATCCTGTAAAACATTGCACTTTTGCATACGACATTTGTTGCCTCTTAATAGATAGGGAGAGAGACTATTTGAGTGAAAAACTCTTCGTTTTGTTTAATGGTTCAGGAAAAAAGCCATCTGTGGGGAAGTTATTGTAAAAATGTGCTGTCATTGTGTCACCATACAAAAAGGGAAATTGTATGTGCGTTGCTGATCCCTGAGTGAAATCATACACTGTGGCATTTGTGGGTTTTTTAAGACTCGGGTTTTGCTTTTTTCATTTGTGGGTTTTTTAAGTCTTTGCTTCTAATCAGTTTTAATGTTTGGACATTGGCTCCTTGAATGCTTGGTATAAACAATTTCTGGATTTTATATATAATGGTCAGGAGAATCTAGTTAGGATTTTTAAAAGCATTTGTTTGATTCAGACACATAATTTCCATCCACATTGGGACTTCATTCCTAAATCACTTTCACCTTACTTGTGGGACTGCTGTTAGGGTTACAAGTGGACTCCTGTAATGAATTTCACCYTCAACAGACTCAATGAGCCACTTGAAGTTTTGTCACTGCATCTACAGRTGGGGAGTTCAGATGAATCCCAGCTGGTTCCCGGCTTGTGCCCTGGTTTTTGCAGCTCCCTACTGCAGGCAATCTGATCAAGAATCCCAATCTTCCCTTGCAAACAGCTGGGTGTCTGTTTAGAATGTCACYATTCTGCCAGGAAAGAGGCTATGGGTAGAGGCATTTGCATCAGCCTTACTCTTCTCAGTGTGAGCATCAATGCTAAGGAATTTGTTGTCCCTTCCATGTCYGTATGGCCTTAGCTGCTAAATCCTTGCAGCCCATGCTATGGTTTGCCAGAGGAAAGCTGGCTGAGGTGTGCCTACCACCCTGCAGTGGCATTTCCCACTTACTGCATGGACGTGGCCCAAGGGAAAATGCTCAGTGGATTTGTGTGGGAAGAGCAAACTGAACCCAGGCATCCCCTGTGGCCARCCAGCACCTTACCCACTGCTTCTGCCTTCAGTTTTTAGCATCCTTTCAGATAGATTTATTGAAAATGCGTATTCACCTATTCACCTTCTGTCTTTCAGCGTGGGTTTGGGTTCAACTCAGACACATCTTCCTGTGCAGATAACTTTGCTCTCACTGACGACTGTAAGAGCAGAAAAGACCAGCTTGGTTGATTTAAAATGTTTGCTCTCCATGTTCTCTTTCAGCATCAGTATCTTTGATGTGGGGARAGGGTGCACTCCTGGTCTCTATCGGAGGGCAGCCTATGTTATGCATAGACACTGTGTGCAGCAGCCCCAAAAACAAATAAATACTAGAAATGTCATTCCTGTATGGTAACTTTGGTCTCCCACAGCTCTGCTGCATTCTGGTCAAGTGGCTAGAGGGGAGAAACCCAGACACAGCTCAGCCTCAAGAGGTTATCTTGTGAGACTCCTCCATCCTGCTCAAAAATAAAAAACACACCAAGACTGTGCCACAGTGCCTTTAAAAGAAGTGCTGGTGTTTTTCRCATGTATTGCCACTTGAAAACTTTACTTCACATTTGCATAATTTCCAGATAAAAAGTTGTTTTGAAGCAGCAGTTCAGGGGGCTTCAGTGCTGACAATTAAGTTTGCAAAGCTTTCAGTTGGACAGAGGGGTAGTTTTCTTATCAGGCAAATTTATTGACACTGTTCCCATGCTCTTCACAGTGTGCAAAAGGAGCTTGAAAATATAGCTCTCCTCTGGAAAATGACACTACAGAAATGGGAGTGCTTGGCCCTTGACTACTGCCTCCAGAATTCCTGGATGAAATAAACTCAATTTATAAATAAATGCCTTTGGGATTGTTGTTTTGGCTTTATGCTTACTGCCAGCTCTCAGATGGGAAAGTCAAGCTGGTGTTCCTCCTGAGCTTACTATTTATACACAGGAAACCTGAGAGGGACTCAGCTTGAGAGTAATGGTTGTTATTTCAAATAGGTTTAAAGTGGGTAATATAATCCAATTTTTGTCTAAATTTAGTTGCTAATCAATCAGAAATATCCCAAAAGATTATTTTTTTACATCTTTGAATCTGGTAATGTCAGTTTGATCCAGTCTCTTTTCATGTATTTTTGATCCGAAGACTACTGTCCTTACAGAAATTTTCCATTTTGAATCTTATTTTTCTAGTGTTGATGAATATTTAACTACAAGTAAATACTCAGAGAAAGTGAGAGTGAAATCTGTGTATTYTTCATGCAGCAGCTCAATATTTAAATACTGGCTTAGCTCTCATTCATATTTGAAAGGAGAGATTCTGCCTTTTTACACACAAAATGATTGAGGGTGCAAGTTTTTCAGGCTGGGGCCAGGGATCTATAAGCTTGGTCATTAAGGGCTGCACATTTTTATCACATTTTCACACTACTGCTTGAGGAATTCAGGCTCAGCAGCTGGTGGAATGAAAATCCTCGTTCTCCCAGCTGCTGACTAAGTCTTGAAATAAGAACAGAAATTACACACTGCTGTGGTCATGAAGAAGCAGATAGGGCTACTCACTGCCAGCTACACTGCACCTGATTCACATCTGSAAAACTGACAAGGGAAAACAGCAAGCCTACAAGAAGTATGTRCTCTTTTATCTTCATCTTCAGATGTCTATATTCTGAATCTTCAGTAGTCCCACACAGGTATGTTCTGCAGCTAGTGAACCATACATTTAAGGCTATGAAAGATATTTTTATCAATGCTTGTCACTGTTTGTAATTATCTTCAGATATGTCCTTTTTTTTTTTTTTCTTTTTTGTAACAACTGATTCTTAAAAGATTTCTTTTATGTTCCTTTCTGCAGCTCTTACTCATAGAGGAAATCTGATCTTCTGCAGCACGGAAACATCAGCGGTGAGATGGCGAGACAAATTCCTTAGGGAGCTGCCTGTAAGTCTGGTCAACATTTAAGATGAAAAGTTTTGCATTTTGTTTGGCAGGATGTTACATGCAGAGTTTAGCTGTTTGAGGCAATTGCTGAGGCAATGAGGGAATATTCAGGAACACAAGCCTCTGCTTTGAGTAGGGGAATAAGCACAAAGGCAGAAATAATCTTGTTAAGACTTCATTCTCGCCCCCTCTCCCCAATTTCTAAAAAACATGATTGGTCTTTGAGACTCTCTAAATTATGCCCAGTTGAAATCTTGCTCTCCCAGAATCCTGAATACACGGAGTAGACCCCACTTCAGGGCTACAAAGGCTCAGCAGCTCAAAACTGTGAGAATACACCTCTTTTGTACTTTTGTCACTTCACTTTGTAACAGTCAAGCAACGCAGGCATCAAAGGGAAATCCATCTGAAACACAGGCAGAAGTAGAGATAGGGTAGGAAACTGTGGGTAAGTAAGCACAGAAATGGTGRGGATGAGACAAGAAAAACAGGAAAACAAGTAGTAAGTCTCAAGGTAGATGAGGACCGAGGGTAGTGTCTGGACAGCAGTTAGCAGGAGGAAGGCAGACTCTGGATTACATGCTGCTGCTGATGAAAGTGTGTTTGTAGAGGACAGCAAGGTGTGATTCTTTCTGCTCTTTCGCTCAAATACTCTGGAGGAGCACCTGAGTATCCAGGACTCAGGAACCCGTCAGTAAATCTTGGAGGCAGCACGGGTGTCTGCACCCTCTAGTGGGCTAGACAGAAAATGTTTTTACCCAGCAGTAATTCTGCCCTTCATTTGCTGAGACCAGACATATCCTGATATTTGCATTATTTGGCACATCTGTAATAACTGTTTTCAGCCTCTGTAACATGAGGCTGAAACATTCCAAACTTCTTTTTTTTGGAATGGACTTTTGTCTGTCATATCTCCTGAACTGTATAGGAAGTTGATTGTGGCTCAGAGTTTTTGAGGGATCATTAGTTAGTGTGAGACAAAATGGTGGCAGAACTGTAAAAGGCCAAGCAGTTGAATTTCATGGCCTGAGCCATTGTTCTGACAGTGTTAAATTTACTAATATTGAAATAGTTTACATGAAGTAAAATCTCCCTTGTGCAGGTGGTATATTCCTCAGGGTTCTAAGTGCAAATACACAGAATAATACTTCAGCACAAAAAAAAATCAATAAAAAACCTGTTTAGTGTGAGACCATTTCCTGTCTCATTGTTCAGCTCTCATCTACTTGCTGGAGGACACAYGCTGACTGAGATGTAGAACTACAGGAAAAGGCAAGGCGGCCTTGTGATTTTAGTGACTGAATGATTTTCTGGGAAATACGATTCTGCCACCGATTATACCTGAAACTAGATGCTGAGAAAAGCTTTTGTGATGCTGAGAAAAAGGTCTCTTCCTTAAGAAAAGGATACATGTGAAATGCCTGAAATGGAGTTGGGATCAAACTTCAGAGTTTCAGCTCCTAACACAAAAAATTCTGTGCAGTCTCTGACTCCTGGGGAATTATACCACATTAGTTGTTTCTTACAACACAAGATAGCAGTACTTAAGATACTTAGGGACAAGTGTAGAGAAGATATCCATTAGCAATTATAGAACAAATGGATTTAGTTCTGAGAGGATTGTGAGGGCTAGCCTGGTGCCAGTATGCTTAAAGCACATCAGTAAGACTATGCTCATTCTTTACAAATATAAGTACTTTCTTTTCAAAAGGTTAAAGAGTAGGAAATGGTGCAACTCCTCCTCTAGAGTACTGTCCTAGGAGAAACAGCATGCACATTCAACTGTCTTTGGAAAAGTATTTAAAGGCTTATCCACCTCCTTTCTTGCTAGCTAGGTAGTCTGCTAGAACTRTGGTCTGGGATGAATTGCACCTTGCTGGTAGAAGCTGGAAGAGCAAGAAAGGTGGACAAAAGGGGTCAGAAGCCCAAAATACMATTCAGCAAGAAGGCTAAAGGCCTTATCTCTGGTCTCGTCTTCAGAGACACAGTGTCACAGTGGATAACTCCAAGGGCCAATCTAAAGAGTAGATTCCAGGCCATGTCCATTTACACTTGTTGACTGCCTCTGTCACTAGGCCAGAGAATCTCTTCACCTCCCCCATGGTATTTTCATCTGTCCCTGAGTTGTTGTATTGATAATTTTTCAGTGCGCATCTCTGAYGTGAAAGATGGGCAGTACCCAGAAGCTTTGTGGCTAAACCAATCTCCTGCTCAGATAATAAGACCCATGGTCAGGCTTAAAAGGAAGCCTCTTTCCTGAAATTAACCACTACTTTATCATTCAGATAGGGAAGGGAAGTGTTTTTGTTCTATCAACCATCTTTCAAAATTGAAGCAAATTATATTTAGTTCCCAGAAAGAAAAGTCAATGGGGAATTGTAATGAAAGGAGCTTCAGCAAAGAGATTCAAAGCTCAGGCCTCCCTGTCATTTTCCTACGAGAGAGAGGATGTTCTGTAAGACTCACTATTTTTTTTGCCCTATTTTTCATGTTTTCAAGGCTCATCCTTCATGTGCACTGGATGACCTACGTGTGTGGCAGGTAAAGAGTGCTGATTTCACACCATTCCTTATCTTTTTGCTGACTATTTCAGATCCCACTCTGAGACACCCAAGTCTGCATTGTTGTCTTCATCCTTCCACCCAAGTGATGCTCACAGAGMCTGAAATTCTGTTTCAGATCTGGCTTCAAGGGGTTATCTTTTCCAAAATAGGCACCAACTCTGAGTTCCTAATTTTCAAATGCTTATTCAAAGATATCTGTATCTGACTTGAGAGTATTGAGTACTCACAAATCCAGGTATGGTCAATCACAAATCCAGGTATGGTCAATAGAAATGTGGCTTTGAAACAGTAACATTTTATGTAATGCCAAATGCTCTTAGAAATCAGGTCCTAGGCAACTCAGGGCCTCTATTCCTCACTTTGTAATATGGGGTTAAATAATCTTCATAGAGGAAGGTTGCAAATAAGAAATGTGTAGGTCTTTTTGAAGTAGTTTTATGCTACAACAACGGATGTCATAAAATGCCCACAAATCAGTTGTTTATTTAGTATTTAGGGCAAGAGTTTGACAAGTGCACTGCACATAGGACATAGTGTCATTCATTGAACAATCAGGAGAAAAAAGTCTCCATTTTTGTGATTATTTTGTCCTTGGAAAATTGCTTGGAAAGCATTGGTTCCAACAGATATGTGGAAAAGGGCAAGATTAAACATGGCTTAAGCAACCTTTTCCAGTCTGTGACTTGTAGAATTTCTTGGCAGCTGGGCTGATTACCTCCCTTCAGATTGTTGACTTCCACTGTTTCACTGGTAGTATCATTCAGCTGAAAAGCAGGGGAACCAGCTGATGAAATGCTGGCTCCCAAGCTCTTCAGCTGTTTATTTGTTCAGGCTGCTAGAACGGTAACCTTCCTGAGGTAAATGAGCATTTTGAGCTTTTCAACTCCTCCCGTGGAAGGAAAAGACAAGGCATTTTCATAAGGGTCACCTTCCACTCCCCTCAATCACATGTCTCTGTGAAGCTGGTGATGTCAGTCACGCAGTGTTTAAATCCTCTGTGCACTGGTCAGGCTGTTGGGGTCTTTAGAAACACATAGTTAGTCAAAAAGTTTGCACGATTGCAGCTATCCGGAAATTGCTGGCGCATGAATGTGAGACTGAGTTAAACAGAAACAAGATCAAGACCTTAAGCTGGACTAAACACTGTCTATACATTTCATACAGCATCTCCTTATCATCCCAATTTGTGACCAAATTCTATATATCCCTGTCCAAGAAAATCACTGGAACCCACGCTTTCACAAGAAGATGTGCCTTCTTGGTCATGCCTTTGTCCCATGTGGCATAAACAACTCTTTAATAACTCTAAGAGGATGAAAAAGGAAGTTTYCTGCTATGTGTCTGGCTTTTGCAGTTCCAGCAATTCACAGCTGTATAAATGCATAATCTTAAAATCTGTTCTTGACGGCTAACATAGCCTCAAACAAAATCATCAGTGAGGTGTTTCAGGTTAAATGGTAGTTAAATGTTTGACACTTAAAACCATATATACTTGTAAAACTTATTTTTTCCAGCTTTTTAGATGAAATTTTTTCTGCCAAAAGCGCTTCTCTCAGAAACTAACAGGACATGGCACAGGTTTACACATTATAGTAGGCTGATAGGTTTGTTCAACTCACATGTCTATTTCTGCWAATGTTTGTGGGCTGGGTACATGGTAACCCCCATGTGAGAGGGGCAGAGATCACAGACAGTATGGGTATCCATGGAATAGGTGGTTGGTCCCCCCTGGGCTCGAAATGTTTCCACTGAGTGGAGTTGATTCTCAGCACCCACCAGTTTACGCAGCTGCAGTGCTGCAAAAACCAACCACAAACTCTCACAGCAGTGCCTGGGAATCACTTTGTTATGTGGGAACACCAGCACGTGGAAAGACCATTGCTGTGCCAGTCAGCAGGACAACAGAGAGAGGGAAATTGTGTTACAGAARTGCCAGTTCCTTTGGTTGTGCCTATTCTTCTGACTGCTCTGACTTGTCTTTGGGACTAGTCTAGTCATGAGCATAGAAAGAAAAATTTCTACCAGAAACACAATTATTTAGGTTGGAAAATACCTTTAATATCACCAAGTTCAACACTTAACCCAGCTCTGTCAAATCTGCCACGAAGCCATGTCCCAAAGTGTCACATCTGTATGTCTTTTACATACCTTCAGGTATGGTGACTCCACCATTTTCCTGGGCAGCCTGCTCCCATGCCCAACAACCTTTTCAATGAAAGAATTTTTCTATTATTCAATCTAAACCTCCCCTGGTGCTGCTTGAGGCCATTTCCTCTTGTCCTATCAGTTGTTACCAGGAGAAGAGGCCAACCCCCAAGGGGCAACAACCTCCTTTCAGGCGATTGCAGAAAGCAGCAAAGTCCCCCCCTTCTCTTCAGACTCAACACCCCGAGCTGCCTCAGCTGCTCTTTGTAAGAATTGTGCTCCAGACTCCTC